AAGAAAATTATTCTAGAATTTTTAAATTCTCAACTTCTTCATAATCTCTTTTTTCCTTTCACTTTTGCAACTTTCACATCAGCCTTAAGTCTAATGAATGATAAGGGAACCTAGTGCAACTGAGGATAGCAAAGGCAGTGGGTTAAAATTGAGGTGAGATGTCAGGAAATCATGTGCAGAAACACAACTGTGTTGTAGATTTCTTTCTGAAGTGGAATTTTATGGAATTTGCAAACCCCAATAGATTGGCAAATATAAATTATTATAAAAGGTCCCAGCCCGGTAGCTCAATTGGTTAGAGTATCATCCCAATATATCAAGGTTGCAGGTTCGATCCCTTGTCAGGGCACATAAAAGAATCAACCAATGAATGCATAAGTAAGTGGAACAACAAATCGATGTCTGTCTCTCTCTCTCTCGCAAATCAATACACAAAAATTTTTAAAAATTACTATAAAAGTATTTCCAATTTAGCTTCTCAGGGTGCTAAAATAAACTTATTATGGTACCTCTATAATGGGTAGCTGCTAATTTTAATTTATCCAGGAAGCCTGATAAACTTAAGAGAATTTTTAAATGATTTGAATATAATTTAACCAATACAAAGTTGTTTTTCTGCTTTCACCTATAAAAATTAAAATTTTAAGTGTCACTACATAATTGAATGAACAAAAGAATTTCAGCATCAATGCCAAGCTTACTTAGAAAAGCTATCCACTTTCCCCCACTTTCCCAACATAACCGACAGTGGCTAGGAGGCTACTTGCCCTTATAAAGCTAGGCCTGGAGAGCTGATCTCAATTAAAGTGGGTAAATGTTCTCATTATTTTAGGACTCGATTCATTTTATGACAATTACTCTACCCTTTCCAATATGAACTACATTCCTCTCATTAGAAGTGATTGAAGCAAAACAGGAAGCATCTCATGTGTTAACGCCACACCATCCTCCCCCAAGTTAAGAGCTCAAAAGGCAAACACAAGATCCCTACTAATGCTTTTTCCTCTGAACACTTCTTGTACATAGCTTAAAACTCTGGGGGGAGGGCAGACTTTAGTACCTTTGGTACGCTTCACTACATGTCACTCCTTTGAATTCAAACGAGTGATTCAACAGTTAAAAGACTATGAGCTTCTTGAGGGCAGGGGCTATGCCTCCTTATTCAAGTCTCCATCCACCATATCCCATAACCTGTGCTCAACAAGCGTTTGGAGAATAAGATGAATAAACGAACAGATAAATGCTGTTGTCAGCTCTGTGACCTTGAAGAAGCCATTTAACTTCCAGGAACCTTATTGTTTCCTCATCTGTAAAATTAGAAAATACTGACTTTGTCATATTCACAGGGGTTGTTAACAGTCAATAGGCAAAATTTATGGGAGTACTTTGCAAACTCTAAAGAACCATGCAAATGTAAGTTAACCATTTCCCCCCTTTATTTCAAGTCTCCTGATGAATGTCTTCTAGCGTAATGATGTCTCCAGATATTGCCTACTCTTCTTTCTGTCCATAAACAAATATTAAGCTTCTACAGAAATATATTATACATTATCATAAGAAATATGATTATTCACATAAGTAATGTTTCTCAAAACAAATCAGCAGATATAAATTTAAAGCTAACATTAGAAACTGTGTCCATTTTAACATTCCACAAACTTATTTTATATAAAATAAAATCAAAAGTTTAACTCACCGCACATTTTTCCACTTTACCAGCATTATTAGCCCACTTTACTAAAGCTAGTAATCGAACAAAGAGTTGACGTGTCCGGCTAGCAAATTGCACTATTTCTATTTTCCTAGAAAATAAAACAATTCTTAATAAACCAGCATATTTAAAAGAGAATTTCACAGTTTATTTTATCTGAGCTAAAGTATGACTCAATCTTTGTTTAAAACCAGTACAACAAAATAAACCACCTAAAATATTTATCTAAATACATATAAACTATTGTCATATTTTGTATACCACCTGCATATGCTTTATTTTTCACCTCACAGTCATAAATCAAAAAGAATGTTTTAGCAATAAACCACATTTAAAAAATTAATTTTATATTGCAATAAAAGTTGTTTACTAAAATATACTAAATTCACAGCTAAAGTTACTATATAGAAGTTAACTGGGTCACACAGAGGACCAAATTAGGAGTTATGAATTTCACAACTGAAATTATGAGTTATGAATTAGTGACCTTTTTGGTAAGAGAAAGGAACTGAAATAAAGCTTGAAACTGTATTATTCCTACAAAAGCAGGGGCACAATTCCCATCTTACAAGGGCATGATTTAAAAAATTAAATAATCAAAGAACTTAACTATGCAACAAATTTCAATGATAAACTTAGATACTAAATTAGCAAAGCAAAGAAAGTTGAGTACTAAAAGTAAAAGCTAGGTCTGTCCATATCTATTTTTATTCTATACCCACCTACAATGCTTTTTCTCCCAATACTTAGCACTATTTTTATCATCTCCTTATAAAGTCTTTAAAGCTTAACTAAAGGCTTTATGTTGTCAATTGATGTGTTAGCTAGACCTCTCAACTTCATGTCATCTACAAAACTGGTAATCATACTTTTCATGGTTTCCCTAAAATAATGAAAAACATTCGACAGGCCAGGACTAATGACGAGACCCAAAGAGGACACCAACCTCCCTCCAAGTGGATTCTGACTTATTAATCTTAGTACAGCTGTTCAATGACCTACAGATCCAATCCACATCTCTCCATCTCACCAACAGCAATACCATGATATAATCCACCAAAATAAAGTTTTCACTGAACTATAATCCTGACTGAAGACTACACAGTCTAGCTCCAATCGAGAGCATACTTAGCCCATAAATAACCTGACAGGCTTCCTTAAGGATCAGCCAGCAATATTACTGGTAGTATAAAGAGAAGAATCAAGGAGACAAATACAGTTATGACTTTTTGCCGGTGTCTGTGAAGGATCCAAGAGATAAAATAAGCAGAGCCTCACAGGCCAGAGTGGGGACACAGAGGAAATGTTAAATGTGCATTATGATCTGGCAGCCACCTCAGTGCCAGGAGCCTCAGTACTGTCACTCTAACTCAGGAACGGCTTACAGAGGACGTGAGGTCTCTGCTCCTCTTCCAGAACAAACATATTTATTTGTATGTTATTAATTTGGTTTCCCAAATGAGCTCCTCTACTGGAAAGACATCCCCCTTTGCAAACTAGTGTAACATGGGTTTTCTTTGACACTATGCTGTCTCAAGTGATAGGTTTCCCAGAGCCCTTCCTACCCGAGTGGAAAGAACAAATCCTGAGTTTCATTTTCATTTCTTCCTTTAAAACTGACCAGCCAAACCATAACACAAGCATGCTTCAATTTTCCCTTCCACCTCTACCTTTTCAATCTATGTCTAATTCTATCAGAAAGGTCAGTTGAGGGTAGGGGTGGAGTGTAATCATTAATAAATGCTAAAATCCTCCCTAGTGGCTTGGTATTTAAAAAATAATAAACTAAGGAACATAAGTAGTGCCAAAGATATAGTCAAATAGCCTATGTTGTAGCCATCATTTAAACCTCTATCACAAGATTTCTTTGAAACCGTCATTTATCTTGCTCCTCTGGCCTATGGAAACATATTAAATATTAAGTTCCAAACTGTAACTGAATCAAAATTCTCTCAACTATAAAACAGAAACAACTGTAGGAAAATGTCAAGTCTCTAAAGATACCTAATAGCATCATTGTAGCAAGTGGTAAATTAGCAGCCAACTTTTAGAGTCAGCCTATTCCTTGGCTTCTTCCATTAAGTTCTAAATTTTCTACATCTTCCTATGCCCCTAAGGACTTGACCTGGTCAGTGACTTAATAAAGGTTCCTAGAATCTAAGGTCCAGAGTTGTCACACCAAGAATTGTCAAGGATGAGGAAATTACAAACACATGTTTATGCCAAAAAAAATCACCCCAAGCTCTCTGGGCCTAGGTTTCCAATCTGCAGCCCTACCATCCATGNTCTCACAGATATACCAACATAGACACAGATTTAAGGTTTTTTCATACTCACCTTTCCACATCAGATTTCCTTGGCAGTCTAAGAAGAAAAAAAAGAAACTGACTAAATATATGCACACCTTCATTAAAATATGATAAGTAGTCTTTATTTTGACTTTATTAATTACCTTAGTGTTTCAGGAAAAAAAAGATAAACAGCCACTACAGGCCTGTGTGGCTACCAACTCTTTATTACTTTTATAAGCTATAAGGGAAAAACCAATGAAGTAGCATTTCTCTCCATTCAAAATGTTTCAAAAGATATTGCATGAACCTCAGACATTTTAAGAAGCCTAAGTCTTACATTAGCACACTATAGCAGAGCTGGAGTCAGAGAAAATACTTTTAAGGCTAAAATGGTCATGGATGCAGAGCACTACTTAGTTGCCAGTTTCTCCGTATCCAGTGGAACCTTGCTTCCAAGCAGGAATCCTCCCCTGTTTTGTTATGGTGGGCAAAACGGGAAGCTGAGCACACAAAAGAGCCAGTGTCAGCAAGGGTTTTACAGTAATTATGATGTTGCCTGTAGTTAGATGTAAATGATTTCTATTACTTTTAAAAGGTTTTGATTTTTTTTCTTTTTTTGCTAGTTCTCCAGTACTGATAGCCAGCAACCAATGTCAACCTTTTCCCTGACAAATTATACCATTTAGCACTCTCATATCCACAGATGCTTTTAGAAAGGTCCTCCTCCCCTGTTTTGTTATGGTGGGCAAAACTGGAAGCTGAGCACACAAAAGAGCCAGTGTCAGCAAGGGTTTTATAGTAATTATGATGTTGCCTGTAGTTAGATGTAAATGATTTCTATTACTTTTAAACAGTTTCAGTAAGGTTTTTCTTTTTTTATTTTTTTGCTAGTTCTCCAGTACTGATAGCCAGCAACCAATGTCACCATTTTCCCTGACAAATTATGCCATTTAGCACTCTCATATCCACAGATGCTTTTAGAAAGGTCCTCCTGATCTGCCTCCTGAATCTCCATATTCTGTAAACCTCTATCCCATGGTCCAAGACTCAACAGCCTGAACTCCAGAGTCTCCCCTAACGTTTAATCATTCTTGAAGAATACACACCAAAACCCTTAGATCCTCTTCTCTCACCCACATGCCACAGGTGCAGAAAAACTAAGGCCACGAGGGAAAACTATTAAAATGAGCTCTGGCTTGTAGTAACCTACAATTCTTATGGTAGACAGTGGCATGGAGGATGAAGATATCATCCAAATAATAAAGGAAACTAGGTAGGCGCTAGAAGAACCAGCAGACCAGAAGATGGAGCAGAAATTAAGGTTTTATTGTAAGACTGGAAATAAAACAGCTGTTAAGTTCCTCTACATGTGAAAGCTCTAGAGAATACTCCCCTTGTCCTCAAGGGAAGGAGAGAGTGAGAACCATGGGTGTAAGAGAGAAACAAAAGAGTAGAGCCTTTGGGGGTAGAAAGAACAGGAATCATTGTTCCAGCTCTACCCACCTGCCCCAGGGACCCTATAAGGATCATCTCATGTCAGGGGTGGTGTGATTTCACGGACAAAGGATAAGCTTTGCTGTCTGCATCCCTTTCCCCACCAATTCCTCCCAATCTTTTAAAATTCCTATACAGATAACAAATCCACCATTTCCGGCAAAAGCTTTAAAATGCTAATTTTTGGAAAAGGTAAGTCACAAAAACTTATTGGGGGCTGGGGGAGGGAGTGTGTGGCAGAAGGAGGAAGTGGACAAGCAAAGGAAAAAACACAGAAATCTGGGGCCAAAAACAAACCACCCGAAATGCCAAGGCTGTTCTTTTCTTTTTCAATAGTTCAGACAAGCAGCAAATGTGGCAAAAATGAGACTCTTATAATGTATATAAGAACACTGGTTTTACATTATTAATACATTAATCCCGACAGTTTCTACCTAGAACAAGGAGAAATACACGATTTAGCAACTTCGAAGGTAAGTCCCTAAACTAATTTTGGTCACCACAAATCGAAAGAGAAAAAAGTTATTTTATATATATCAATCAAGAGCAACAGTGACTCTTCCCATAAAATTCTCCATGGTCTACAATGACAATTCTAAAAATTCATTCATTGGTGTATTAAATCAATAAATAATTAGTTAAACCCTGACTAGGTGCCAGGCATTGTTCTAGGTCCTGGGGAAAGCAGCAAACAAATCAAAATCCCTGTCCTCACTGAGCTTCCAGTGGGGAGGAGATGGGACACAAAGCAGTGAGTAAAGGATGGAGCGAAGAGGCAGAGGGCTTTTCATGGATAGAGAAAGTCTTTCTGGTAAGTTATACCTGAACAAAGACCTAAAGGAAATGAGAAAACAAACCACACAAATTTCTGGGAGAAGAGCAAAGGCTCTAAGGGGGGAGTGTGCCTGGCACTGTCACAAGACATCAAGAGGGTAGAGTAGCTGAAACAGAATAAGCAAGAAGGAGAGTATTGGGAAATGTAGAGAGATAAGGAAGAGAAGGCACAGATCATGTGGAGCCTTGAAGCTAAAGTGCCACATATCCTGGTTTGCCCAAGATAGTTTCTTTGGGTTTATGCCTGTTACTTTGACATTATTACTAACAGCACCATCTTTCATGCTCAAAAGTGTCCCGAATTCGACCATAAATTTTATGGTCACCCTATAAATAGGTGACTATAAAAACTTTTACTCTAAGTGAGATGGGGAACCACCGGAGGGTTGTGAGCAGGTTTAAATGGATCATCCTGGCTATTTTTTGGAGGAAAACTGAAGAGGGAAGGAGTAGCAGTAGAGATACCACTTAGCAGACTACTGCAGTAACATAGGCGAAGGAATAACACTTGATGGAAATGTTGAAACGTGGTCAGATTCTGAAGTCAGAGATGACAAGACTAGCTGTTGTACTGGGTGTGGGGCTAGAAAAAAGAGGAGCCAGGAATTATTCCAATATTTTTGGCTTAAGCAACAACAGGAAGAATGGAGCTACTATTTAGTGCGATAGGAAAGGTTTGGGGGGATTGAGGGGAAGCAAGAGTTTGGTTCTGGACTTGGTACACTTAAATGCCTGTTAATTATTTGCATGTAGGCATCTGGACATACAGTCTGGAGGTCTATGCTACAGATATAAGTATGGGAATCATAATTATATAAAGGGCATGGGACTAAAACGATATACCTATTCTACAGCAATAAAACAGATGCTCCACTCTTCATAACTAAGTCCTAAAATAGTAAGACCACCACAATATAATTCAAAGAATTTCTACAAATCCCTATGAAAAAAACAAATTACACAACCACTCATAGCAGCAGTGATTAACACTTTTCCATAGCTATACATAGGATATGTGACCTTCACATACATGAAATTTTCTCATGGATACTCTTGGATTTTTATGAAATCCAACAATAAATGGTGCAAAGAAGTATAATACTACAATAATCCCTAATCATGACAGCTACTTAAGTTTCTCATTAGACAGGGGAAGACTTTTTTCTGTCCCATTTAATAAAGCACAGGACATTAGAATTGAGTGAGAATGATGTTTTACAGGAATAAGAGGAACCTTTTCAAATTCCTAGTCATCTGCAAATATTTTAACAGTCTCTAGTAACAAATTACAACCTAATATCTATATACTAATTATTTCAATGGAAAACACTGATCTGGAGTCTAGCAACAGATAAAAGATACAAACTAATGTAGATTAAAAACTAATAATTCTTACCTTTTTCTGAACCTGGAGTAAAATACGCAAAACAGGAAAGTTTATACACCCTCAAATATTATAGTGCCTTTTCTTCGAACACTGAAAATCATTACAGTATTTTGATCCTATTCTGAAGGGATTGCACCCTAATCATGTCCCAAGGCAATTCATGGGTAATTTACAATTTCCCTTCATACTCCAAGAAACAGTAACAGCAGACCAGTTACAAAAATCTTTTACTTACACCAAATGAGTTAAGATTTCAAAAGTTCCAGAAACAACTTGGAACCCCCAAATTTGGATTATTTTATACACAATACATCTCCCGAGTTCAAACTTAGTCAGAAGCAATTACAACCCACATTTAAAATGTATCGTCAAGGCGTTGTAAAACTGATTTCCCATCTTTGGGATTTTTTTAAAAGCTCGAATATTATGTATTCCTAAACCCTAATCTTGGGCTTTGGGCTAAAAAGCTTCCAGCCAAGAAATCAATACGGTTCTGGTGACAACTTGATCAAAAATCCCAAAGATGAGATTTCCAATGCAAGCCTAACAACATCCATAATTAACAAGTCTCGGTTGCTGCTTCTCCAGAAAGACCCCCAAACGCAAAGCTTCTCTCCTTCACCTCCGCTATGCCCCAGGAGTTCAGATATTCTAGACTAAGCAGCCCCGCATAGAGAAAACAGCAGCCTCTAGGGGAGAGAGAGGTGCAAACCCCTCAGCCGGTTGGGCGGGAAGGGGGAAACTGGGGAGCAGGCATGGGTTTCGCGGCACTTACAGATCCGTCAACACCATGAGCTCCGAGTAGGCCCGGTGCAGTAGAAATTCGATGAGGGTGCTCAGCCGGTAGCCAGGGCTAGCCGCGGCGGCAGCAGCAG